AACAAAACAAAAAAAAATCAAGACCAAAAAACACTAGGTAAACCGAAAAATACACTTGACATAAGTGTATCTAAGCTCGTTTACACTTTTATTATGTCTGCAAATGCATCTGGTTCCCTACTTTCAATATATATATTATGACAAGAACTTGAAGAAAGTGGTCATAAATTTTCCAAGTAGCAGTTACTATGTATACTCCATACCTTAGGCTATTATTACGGCCATGGTGAACGAAGAAATATCTTGCATAAGTCACCCGCAAATGTTGCCTTTCGTAGCTGCTATTTGCACTGTAGGTTCAAAAATTTAATAGAAAAAAATAAAGTTCCAATAAGGCCAGAAGTTTTCTTAGATGAATCATATTGTTACCTTCATCACACTACAAATTGCACTTGGGTTCCAAATCATGGAATTATATACTCACAAGGGCGTGGTCCTCTAATCGTTATCTTTGGTGCTATAATGGTAATGCAAAATGGTAAAACTAACAAGCTTTATTCCGAAGTTATTCCCAATTCTATTGTAATATGGGATCCATCGATCAAACTACCATTATTCAAAGGAAGAAAATGAGCAAATTTGGATGGTTGGGATGATATTCCTAAAGTTGTTTGAAATGCTAACATTACAGTAGATCATGTTAATTATCATAGTAATTTTACGGCTAAAATATTTGAAGACCTTTTTGAAAAGCTTTGTGATAATATTAAGAGACACTATGGATCAGCAGACATTCACATGGATGGTGCTCATTATCACAAGCGTCGAATTGAGCAAGTGCCAACATCAAACTCGAATAAGAATGCAATGATTGCATGGTTAATGTTAGCTGGTGTTGTTATTTCCGAAACTTCTAGCAAAGCAGAACTTTATAAATTAGTAAAATTGAATAAGGAAAGCATGCCCTTTGTATGTGTTTAGATAGCTAGAAAATATAGCCATAATTTGCTTTATATCCCGCCTTATCATTGCAAACTCCAACCGATTGAGGGAGTTTGGTCAATCGTTAAAGATGAAGTTGCCAGGACAGATCTCTACCCAAACCTACTAGTAATTATTGCAGGCTTTTAAAGAGAAGGTCTCCACTAAAGTTATTGTTGGGTTTTGAAGAAGATCACTTAATAAAGCCAACAAGTATAAAAATTTAAGTGACGATATATTATTGGCTGAAAGTGATTATGAAGATCTTGAAATCAAAGAAATGAGTAATTAATAAAAATTTTTATAAAAATATAAAAGTTTTAATAAAATTTATATCAAAGTATTTCCCAAAACCTACATAAAAAATGACATCATTTAAATATTCATGTTAAATTTAAAAAAAAATTTTATTATAAGCATACTGGTGTATCTATATTTTTGCACCGGACCATATTATTATAAATTAAAGAATAAAAAAAGTTTATAAGAAATAAAAATAAAATTAATAAGTGTTATTATTGTAGTTAAAAGTAATAATCACATTATTAAAATTGTTCAATAAAATCATTAGACAATTGGACATATGTCCAATAATCTTACCAATTTAATTGGATATTGTCTAATGCCTGAAGATCCAAATAATTATTTGAATATTTGAACTATGTTCAAATGTCCAATTGTCCAATTGTTCAATTGTTCAATTAAATTTATTTGCATATTGTTCAATGCCAACCCTGGTTATCATTACCTAAAATAAACAGCATTGATAATTACTAAAACTTGAATAAAATAGGAAGCTACTACATATACAACAATCTTACACTTGTTAGTTTTATTGTTTCTGTTGTTTTTGCTATATTAAAGTATCAAAAAGAAGAGTATAGGAAAAAGGTAGTATAGAAAAATATATGTAATACAATATTATATTATTATGTTATTTTGAAGTAACCAACACATGACTAACACAATAATGCTGTAAAATATTTTGCTTAGAAATTTTGCATACTGAAAATATGTACAAGGTTGCACTCCAGATAAGTGTGTGCCAGCAGATGACCTCAATTAACAAAGAAAAATTTTCTTTACAAAATTGCAAATAAGTTATTTAAAGAACTTTCAGTGAATAAACTAAATTTCCTAAACAGTTTGTTTTTTGATTGATAAATTTAAGGCTGACTGTATCATTGTCCGAAGCGTAGTGAGGACTTTTATGTCTACTCCAAACCATGCAATGTCCGTTGACAGCACCCAATCAATTTTTCATATTAGGTAACACTGCATATTTCTGCAAAAAACAAACCACGTGATACCTAATCAGATTGTTGCTTCGGACATCTATCAGCTCCTGATACCTAGTATAAATTCATGTTTTGTTGTAGGCAAGCTTAATTTAATGTTAAAGAATTTGAAGTAAAATTAATAAATCAAATAAATATATATAATTCTTTTTTATTTTATTTTCTTTAATATTATATGCAAATAAAGAAATAAAATAATAAAACTAGTCAGTGCAAAGAAAAAGTCGACTTTATAACATAGATCTTTATGATTTTTGATATTGAAAAAATCGAGATTTGTGACCATCGAGCCATCGGAGCACAGCCTTGTATATATTTCCAATGTGCATCTATTTTTGCTAAATACGTCACTTGTTTAGATTTAAAAAAGATAAATTAACAAACAGCCAACTGATTTATATTCATTCTAGATTATATAAAAATACAAAAATAAAAAACTAGACTCGATCCTTGGATAAACTCTGAAACTTCTAGACTCTTCCAAATCGAAGATAGCAATAATTATATATATCTCACGAAATTGTATTATCAAGATTTATAAATTTCTGGAAGATCAAAGTGTAATTATTGAAACAGTGCATAAATGCTTTCTTTTTTTAATGAATACATAGTATCGAGATGTGTTTAAATATACTAATTCAGATACTAAATATCCAATATGCAAAGATATTCATATACGTTTAGGCATATGGGATGATTGGAGCTGTTTGAGTAAAGATAACCATTATTTTCTTAACTATCCTTTTTGCTCCGATCAAAAGAAGCTATTAATCGCTTTGCAGGTTTAGATAAATAAAAAGGAATCATTACGTAGTAGGTCAGAGTTTGACAAATAAAATTATTAATTTTAGCATGAGAGAGATCGAAATAACAGTATAAATAATGACCAATACTTATTTACACAATCACGTAAAAATAAAAAATGGCAAGGGACCCCTTTTTTTATTTATAAAAATTATTATCGGAATGACAATATATAGATAAAAAATATTATATAATAAAAAAATTATATTTTTTTAAATGCTTTTATTGAAACCTGATTTATTAAATACTAGCTCCAATCGTACCCCACCACTCATTGTATATTGTTCTGGATGTTCTGAGTTTTGAACCCCATTTTTTCACTCTATTTTTTCGCTATTAACTAACAAATATGAACCCATGAGAATAGCAGAGTGACTATAATGAGATTAGACTATATGGGGTATTATCTATTAAAACAGCCCTTTTTTACATATATTTCATTTTGAGATAATTGAGTTTAATCACTTGTTTTGATTTTCGGACTGATCCGGGATTAATCAAATTTCACGATTTTGATTGGTTAAAGGTAACAGGTGACTATCGGGTAATCTCGTGATGTGTTGGCCTTGGGCAGCTTCATGTAATTTTTCTTTTACATTATCTTGATTTTTTATTATGCAAATCGACTTTCATTTATAATTGAAAAATGTCAAGCATGTCAAAATTTATAAGAATCCAATAAAAACTCATTTTTCGAAAAATTGCAAAAAAGGGCTGTTTTAATAGATAACACCCCATATATATTATTGAAATAGGTAATTAAATTTTGTAAAAGTTTTTTTACAATAAACATTACAACAATTTTTATACAAACTAAATTACATTCTATGAAGAAATCACAAATAACTCTAAACGTATCAACTCAACCTTAACTATATCTCAATAATTCCAATATAAACCAATTCAGCAGTCACCAGAATATAGAGTAATTTTGACAACTTACTATAGAAATAATACAATAATTTTATATAATTCAAACTAACTTTAATCTATACTGTGGTTACTAGTGAGATAAATTCTGTAATAGAATTTTTTACAGTATTCCATTATAGAAATTATAAAAATTTCAATACAAATTAATTTAACCTCTACTACATGTTATATGTTACTAAAATAGCAAATAACTTTGTAACAATTTTTTATAGTAACTCTGTAAAACTTATAATAATATCAATTTTAACTACATATTGCGGTCACTGGAATACGTAACAAATTTAGCAACAGCAGTAAATTATATACAAACCAACTCAAACTTATATTGTATTATTTAGTTCTGTAGCAGAATTAGAATTTTTTACAGTAAATAGAATTATGATAATTCTAAAACCAACTAATTCAACTCTAATCACATACTGTGCATACTACACTAGCTATTAAATTCTGTATAAAAAGGTGGCAGGAAACACCAATAGTATATACTAAATTTCTCAGAAGAGGGAGAGTGAACTCTATAGTAAACTGATCTCAGCTAATATCTAACACCTCTCTTGTATTATGACAGTACGGCATTATGGCTCACTGAAATTACAATAAAGGCATGTGCCATAACTAAGTTAATTATCAATTATAATTATCTTCCCTAGATCGCCACCAAATTTTCGCCGGCACGTGATTATGTGTAGCACAACGAAAATTCTTTAAGGTTAGGGTTAGGGCCTATGCTAGGGATAGGGTTAGAGGAGCTGTTAATAGTAAAATCGCTCAAGGAAAACTTTTTGTTAATGCAAAGATGGTAATTTTTCAATGAACATTTGTTTTGAATTTTCCTGATCGTGTTACGTTACACCTTATCTTGAATGTGATTGGTTTTAAATCACGTGTAGGTGAATTTGTAAAATTATTTCTACCACCAACTATATTTTTCTACTATTATCTAATTCACAAGACTCACAACATTATCGCGACGCTTTAACTTGTCTTATATTTTAAATGCTGTTATCAACTATTGAGTAACAATAATTCTCCATCTTATCAACAATGTCTGATACTTTAAGACTCACTTGTCTAGTTAATGGTGATCCGAAAAAAAAGGTCTTTGAAGTCGAGATAGAAAAAAGAGTCTGTTTATTTTCTCAAGGAAAAAATCAAGGAGAAAGTCCCTAATCTATTTACCAATGTCAATGCTAAAGATATCGTGTTGTGGAAGGTAAATGTCCCAATCGGCGATAATTCTATGGAGGCTGACGTGCTCGAAAATAAAGCAGAAACAGGTGTCAAAGAATTATCAAGCCCAATTAAAAAAATTCGTGATGTGTTTACTGATAATATTGCAGACGAAACTATCCATATTGTTGTCGAAAGGCCTTCTGGTAAGTACAGACTACACTAAATATTTACTGTTAATCACGCTTAATTTGGTTTAACAATATCTTGATGGGTTTTTTTTTGAAGACTATTGCAAAATGATTGAGGGCGAAAAGCAAGGCATGTACCAATATTTCAAACCTATCTACCTTCCAGTATAAGAACTATAGCAGTTAGAACTCTAGAAATTCATCTTGTCATTATTTGCAAATGTTCCCACTTTATACTTATAGTCCACGATGTTAGTGCCAAAGTTCTTGATGCTTTTAATAAAAGACCTAAGGTGACACTCCCCGACGTAAATGAACTCGCAAACTTCCTTGAAATGCCTATCCCAGAAAATATGAAGATACCTCTTCTCCAACGTGAATATGATAGTTTTTTGATTCAAAGTATGAAAAATACATGTACATCGGAAGACCTCAATATCTTATTCCGTGTTAGTGAAACTGAGAGAGCATATGAATTCATTACAACAATAATTGGCGGGCTAATTCGGAATGACCCACCTTCGCGAGAGGGAACCGAACGGTTATATCTCTCATTCTGGGATACTAACATCAGGTTTCCTCTGGAGCTTCTTATTTCTGATGGTATTTCTATCCGAAACTCATCTCAGCATTCAAGCTCCTTTAGCAAACGACCAAATTATGGATTTATTGTCAATCATATTTGTCTGTTCAGAGGAGAGGAAAAATCGCCCACCAGTTACGAAGATGCGAAAGCCAAACTCAAGGATAAACTTTATTGGACCTATGATCCAGCTCCGTATATTTTAGGTAAGATCTTGTGCTCATTTCAAAGTGTGTCTCATTCTAAATGTTATTTTTTGATGTTACAGGCTACTATGCAAATGGGCCAGATATAACTTTTGTTGCTATTTGCCGACCTTTAAGTGGTTACAATCCAGATGTTCTTGACATTGTAAAGTCAAATTTAAATCAGAGAAGGGATCGTATTCTAAATCTGCGGCGAATGATTAATTTAAGTATTCTAATCAAGTCTCTTCAAGATGTGATCGGATGGCGCGAAACACCCGAATTCCAACGTATTTATAGGTAAGTTGAAAATTTTGTCTTTGAAATATATGCATGGATGGGTTCGACTACGAACGGCTACGATCATTCATAGCCAATTTGTTAAATACTGAGATGATTTTTTGTTCTT